AGTCCAATATAAATGTTTTCGCTTCTCCATCAACAAAGTACCAGCAGCTTTGTACGCGCTTGCATTATCTGTGATCACTTGAATGACAATATCTTCACCGATTTCCTCAATAACACCATCAAGTAGCTTGAACAAATTTTGTGCATTTTTTATGCAATCTGACGCATCAACAGTTTTCAAAAAGACTGTCCTATATTGATTGTTCACAAGAAAGTTAATCAAGCTTCTGTTTCTAATATCGGACCAGCCATCTGATAACAATGAAACTCCTGTTTGCTTCCATGTAGCTTTTATGTCATCAACAAATGTAGTGGTTGTCTTGACTTCTTCTTTTAAAATCCAAGTGCCCAACTCGTGTGCTGAAGGAGGTTTTAAGTCACGATCATAATTACCAATTGAACGCACCATATTTACAAAAGCCGAACTCGAGGCAATATTAAATGGCATCCCATTCTCATAAAAGCATCGCCCAATATCCAAGCAAACTCTATTGCGGTGTTCTTTAGCCTTCGCTGGTGTCATCTTCTCAACCGCTACTATCCCTTGGTCATCATCAAGTGGAATCTCCATATAATGGTCTATCGGGCCTCAAACCCCCTTGGTGCTAACACTAGGACTAGAATTTGCACCTATAACATTGTTATTGCTATTGCTCATATGGTATGATCCACAACCCACATTTTCCTCAAAATTATGTTGCTTAGTGAATTTCTGATCTTGATATGCTTTTAGATATTGTTTCATTTCTTCCTTTACTATGTCGGGCACGTTTAAACAAGGTGCAGCATCTTTTCGTGATCCAGCAAGATGTTCCTTCATTCGTTTTACCCCCCCCCCCCCTTTGATGACCTTGCTACAATAGTTACACTTGAGATATTTGTAACCTTTTTTGGCACCCTCTCCAGGTACTTGTACCTCTTCACTATGATCCCAAGATGGATCATTTCGTGCTCCTTTAGAAGCCATTTTAAGTCCAAAACTTAATAAATATTCTGCAATAAAGTAAGTGTACAAAAGCATTACAGGGAGAAACTACCAAACTGATAAACACTATGTTGCCTAATTCGAGTTGTGTAATTACCAAAAGGAGAGTGTAATTGCCAAAAGAAAAGAAGATACAAACTCATGAAAACACAGTAAAGTGGATAGAATTTCCAATTTTTTTCTAACCTTTGATTTGAAGCAGTCAAGAGTCAAGCTTCAAGAAGTCCAACTTCAATTACAACTCAATACCTTCGGATTTTGATGCAGAAGTGGGGAACAACTTCGATTTTAACTCACAAGTTGATGACCATGTTCGATTTGGCTAACAACGGGAGTAAGAAGAAACGAGAAGAGAAAAGAAAGAAGAAACGAGAAGAGAAACTCATAAAAGAAGAAACGAGAGAATAAGGAGTGACGGCTGGAGAAAAATTAGGTTATATCACGTGATTTCTAAGGTCAAAAAGTCAAAAAAAAAAAAAAAAAAAAAAAAAAAAAAAAACCTATAAGGCCTCTTACGCCTCGCCTCGGACCGCTTTTCACCGCCTCAAAAGACTAAGGCGTGCGCCTCATTCTCCCCCTAAGAAGTGTAGCCTCATAATCGGCTTTGGTCCGCCTTGCCTCGAGGCGTACGCCTCGACCGATTTTTCAAACCTTGCATAGAGGTTAATAAGTTATAGTATTATATGTTAATACTTGTTAGGCGTGTTGCTCGCCAGTTGGATTGCTCAAATAAATGTTAATCGCCAGAGTAACTATCCAGGTGAGTTACCTCACTATACTATGTATTACAATGTATGTTCATGTATGTTAGCATATAAGAGCTAGTAGAGTAGAGTCGAAAGTATAGTCTTTATATGCTTTATGTTTGTGTACTTGAAGCTAGTATAGTAGTATAGTATAAAGTATAGTCTCTATGTTCCTGCACTAGTAGAGCCGAAAGTGTAGTTTCTATGTGTGCAAATGTTGTTATTCATTACAGTTAGAATAAGGGTTGACAGCAGAACGACGACAGGTCGAGAGCCTATACACCCGCACGTTGATAACGAAATGTCAGGTAGGTTGTAAGTCTAAAATACACATATTATTGGTGGATCGATGAAAGGTCGTGAGCCAATTGGTGGATCTGTGAAAGGTTGTGAGTCGTTGTATGTATGCATGTGTATGTATTCTGATATAGGATATTTTGGGGAACTCACTAAGCTTTGTGTTTACTCAGTTGATTATAAATGTTTTCGAGTATTTCTTCGGATCGTGAGAAGGGTAAGACTTGAGTGTACACGCGTGCATTGACATCATGTTTTCTGCATAATTTAAGTAAACTCCGATTTAACTGAATAAATAAAAATAAAAATTTTGCTATGGAAATCGGGACGTTACATTTGTACTAAGGTGTTCAACATATAATTTGAATATTTTATAATACTTATAACATAAATTTGTATGGAAAATGAATTATATGAACGATGATGAGTTCAAAATAATGATAACATCATTGTTTTATGGCAAATAATTTGTTATAAAAAACTTTACTCAATAGTTTTATGGAGTTTAATGACATTTATTCATATTCATAAATTCAAACAACAAAATTCCAGATTTATAAAAAACTTTACTCAATAGTTTTATGGAGTTTAGTGACTTTTCTGGAGATAACCGGGTAAAAAATAATTTATTGTAAAAAATGACTACGGGTAAAAAATAATTTATTGTAAAAAATGACTATTTGAATTTTTTTTATCCGGTAATTGGAACTTTTTTGTTAACAAAATAAAATTTGGGACTTTTTTTTAAACTCAACAAAAATATTATGATTTTTTTGAAGATTTCACTTCTATAATTTGAAATATGGCTTGGCTACTCTCATATCACTATAGCTTTATGTTTTCTCTACAAAATAATTTTTTCTTTTCCTTTTAAATTATCAAAATTTATTAAATACTCGAAGAATAAATATTACAATTTCAAACAACTAAAACACTGTAAAAAATAATTTATATAGCTTATTTTATTACAGTTGGTTATTATGTTATATAATCACTTTCATAAACATTTCTACACACATGTACAAGTGCTTGACTTATATCGTTGTAAGAGATAATTACTTAGAAGTGTAACTTATTTTTTGATTTGTACACATTTAATCACGAGTTTTTTTTGTCCATATTTTTCAATTGAACTTGTTTGAACTATTCAAAAAACATCCTTATAACCTGCAATCATAGGTTTAGCTAGTTTCCAACGTATTTGACAGGTCATGCAAGGTTTCAGATCAAAAAATAAGTTACACTTCTAAGTAATTATCTCTTACAACGATATAAGTCAAGCACTTGTACATGTGTGTAGAAATGTTTATGAAAGTGATTATATAACATAATAACCAACTATAATCACGAGTTTTTTTTGTCCATATTTTTCAATTGAACTTGTTTGAACTATTCAAAAAACATCCTTATAACCTGCAATCATAGGTTTAGCTAGTTTCCAACGTATTTGACAGGTTATGCGAGGTTTCAGTTATCTTCTCCGGCGAGGCTCCAACGTTCAAGGTTTCTGTTCTCTCATTCTTTCTCTTTCTTCTCTTTTTCTCATTAACTCAAGAACTCCAATGCATATATCAGATTTGTGATGAACACACACATACATATACATCATATCATTGTTCATCGTCTTCAACCTCCAAACCACCATTATAATTGAGTTATAGGGTTTATGATTTTCAGTTGATGGTGTTTGATAGGGATTGAAAGGTGATATGATGTTCATTGTCTTCAACCTCCAACCTAGAACAAATGTTCGAGCATGAACATATACACACGAACACTTTTGGAAATCGTTTGATTTCTGGAAAGAAGAGGAACACGATGAAGATCTACAAACCTTGAAGATCATTTGATTTCTGGAAAGAAGATGAACACACACACACATCGATTTTTGTTCAAGAACACACACATGATTTATGTTCAAGAACTCACACATGCTTTCAAAATTCAAACAAGAACAAGATGCTCGATCAATTTCAAATACCTAGATTTGATGTGTCTATATGTGTGTGTTCTTGTGTTTTTATTTGAAAATCAAACTCTAGTGTGATATGTGTGTTTTTGAGTTTTTCATCTGAAAATCGAAACTTTAGCTGTGTGTATGTTACGATATTTTCGAAGACTCGCCAGAGATGCCCGAAGTCTCGCCAAAGATGCAAAGACCGTCGGAAACCGACTAAACTCACACCAATCAGTCATAAAGGTAAAATACGGACAAAAAAACAAGTTAAATGGTAAATATAAAAAAAAAATATATAGTGATTAAATGTGTACAAATCAAAAAAAAATACATTATCATTTTAGGTTATTATCCCTTGTAAATAAAAATAAAATTTTGTTTGAATTATATATGAAAAATTCATAATACCCTATGATAATCATGTCCTTGCAAAAAATGGTATGCATTTAATTTTCTTTTAGTTTTTATATTAAACTTGAGAATCTAATTATAAAACTACATTTACTATTTTAAAAATCTACATTATTTTTTCTTAAATTTCAGCACTCATGACATTTTTCTCTGTGAAGATGTCTATTTACAACAAAACAAATTTGAGAAGCAACTTTTTGTAAAAAAGAAAAGTTGGACAAATGTTCCAAAACATAAACACAAATCATGTTTTACAGGATTAAGATTTTTCCTTAATTTTCTTAATGCTAGATAAACATAGACTTTTAGACTACTATCATTGTAATCATTAAAAAGCTTAAAACAAACTTAACATTTTCCAACTTTTGTTAAAGAAAACTAAGTTATTTGTTTGTTGCCTTTTAAAAATAAATGATAAATTAGGTTGATCCAAACCTATTGAACCATAAATTGTAGTAGTATTAAACCTCAAAACACCATAAAACAAACAAAAGAATAAGATTTCTCAAAACTTTGGATTGAATAAAACACCACCACATACAAAAGTACAAACAACCTCTACAATAAAGATTCATTACATAAAAAACAAATGTACAAATTTTGCATCAACACAACCTAAAACAAACAAACAAACAAACATCCATCCATAATATAGAAAGAAGAAGAAGAAGAAAACAAGCCATTTCATTACAAAATTCTAAAACTTTGTACGAATATATAAATGGAATTTTACTTACAGGGTCCTGAGTGTGGAGTTGATAAGCTTGACAACAATACGTATGCTTGAAAGCTCTGAAACTGAAGTTGTGGGGAGACTTAGTTGATGGTTTAAAATGGAGTAAACTTGTTCAAATATTGGTCTAACATGCATTGCTATCATCCCATCTGATGGCTTTATGGCTACAACCACATCCATCATCCATGCAAGTTTCTTTGATGTCTCGTTCCCAATATCACATGCCAGCTGTTGTACCAATGACAAAAGTACCCCTTGACTCAATGGCAAAGGATTCCTTGCTAATAACCCCTGTAAGTCAACCTAGTAGTAATTCCCAACAATCAAACATTAAAAAAAAATCATTTTTCAGATATAATTAAACATATATGATATACCTGAGTGCATAACCATGACACAATCCAAACATCACTTCTTTGAAGAGCAGAAGTGAAAGCCTCCTCGTATTTGTGTTCATATACCAATCTTGAAAGCTCTTTTGTTGGATCCAATGGTGCTTCCATCTTTTTTTTTGTATTATAGAATGATTCAGATATCGAATAAAAAGTATTGTTTTAAAAAGATAAGGTAAACTAAAACTAACCTTATCATGGAAACTGCCTAAAGGTCCATTGCTGATTTGGGAGATCAAAGGATTCACTGATTCCGAATTTGCCCCTGCAAGTGCAAGAGCTACCAACTTCCTTTGACCATCAGCCAGTTCACCGCTTAATGTTTGAGTCATGGAGGATGCTGAATTTATCGCGTCCTGTCAACAATCAAAAGGGTAAAACAGTAAATAACGATTACAGAAAAAAACAAAAAAAGAAAGTTGATGACTTTTTAGTATTTACCCTCAAAGCAAGTGCTAAAGGAGAATGAGTTGACTCAGTTTGCTGAAGAGCTGCAGCTGTGTGTTCCAGCATTCCCTTTTGAAATGATGCATCAACTTGATCAAACATCGCCTTACAAGACATCTCAAAAGCAGGGACTACAGAACCCTCCATACTTGACTTAAGTGCTTCCTATTGTAATATAAGAAAAAAAAAAAGATCTAAATACTAAACTAACTTTAATATATTTATAATTATGTTTTCAAAACAACAAATTAGCTCTCATTAGTCATACCTGTAATGCTTGTTTGCCAGAAGTTTGAAACTGAGTTTGGATTTGTCTTGCAACAGTAGCTTCAAGTTTAGAATTAACAGATTTCTCAAGTTGGTTTACAGATTTATCAGCAACACCTCTCTGAAAGTTGAAATTTTTTTAATCAGATTTCAATAATTTGAAATGCTTTAAGAAAGAAAAACCTTTAATGTCTGTCACCTGAAAAGCCTCTGTGATGGCTGAAGCGACTGTTTTCTCAATAACTGGAGAAACAGCACGAACAACAGCTGTCACAAGTGCAGATGTTTCTTTCTTCAACATTTTCTCCCATGTTACAAGTAACTCCTTGTAGCCATTTGTAACCAAAGCTGAGATTTGTTGACTTCGATCTCGGTTTGACTTTTCCTGTTTTGCAAATTCTTCTTGTGTTTTAACCCAAAGAGCATCATAATTAGTTTTATAAGTTTTCTCCAGGCTTTTTCCAATGGATGCCTCGATTTTTCGTCCTTCTTTTGTGATTGATGATGTCACCATTCCTGGAGTCTGTTTTTGGATTTCCTTTTGGTTGAGTAACACCTGAGTGATGGTTTCTTGCATGGAATTAAGTTGTGAAAGTATGGCTTCAACAGAGGGAACACTTGAAGAACTGATTCCTGGATCATTATTAGAAGAATCTGTTGAATTATAAACATTTAATGGACTTGAGTTTGATGATCCTTGAACATTCTTTCCCTTTTGTTTTTTCCCTTTTCCAGAAGATGAAGTCACTTGGGGAGGTGTCACTATCACTGTCTCACTTTGTCCTGAAAGATCGATTTTTGCATCTTGAACAACTTCTTCAAGTCCACCTGAAGTTTGACCTTGACCAGCTGTTTGACTTTCTCCAGGATTATCAAAGTATGTTTCCACACGCCGAAAATCTGATGCCTGTGATGAAAAAGATTTCTCCATTTGCTCTGAAGCAAAAGCATGAAGCTCAGGTTCAAGGTTTTGACTTTTTCCACTTTCACCAACAACTTGGACTTCCACCTCAGCATTTTGTGAATCAGGGTTTAGAATCACATCCTGTATGTTTGCATCCACATCATTCTTTTGCTCAGAAACATGACTTATTTCAGAGGACAATGTCGCCATTAATTCAGCAGGAGTTACCAAATGAGTTGGATGCTTAAACTTCCCACCATCTTTACTTTCATCAATTATCGAGTCATTAGACATGTTTGAATGAGCAGCATCCACCGAGTATTCAATAACTTTTGGCTCATCATGGATGCTGACTGGACTTTTCAAATCCGAAAGTTTTCTTGACAAAGTAGGACTTGATGCAACAGGAGGTGTTTCAACTGAAAGAGGAGCTTCAGGTAAAGAAGAAGTTGAGGGTTGTCTCAAAATAGAACTCCCATCAGAGTTTGATACAGAAACAGGGAGGGGTATTTCAGTCTTATTTCCAGAAGCTGAAGCTTCCAAACCAGTTAACACTTCAGCATTTGGTGCAATTGCATCACGTGAAACAGTTGAATCTGATCTCTCATATGCAACAGAAGCAGCAACACTTTCGATTGGAGGGGGTAAGCATTGAGACATGTCCAAAGCATATTGTTGAATAGCTTGTGTTTGGACACAGTAAACCTGAACAATTTGTTCTCCATGAGGTAACAAATCACTAGTACCTGTGAAGCTTAATATTGGCATTGTTACTGTAAACTCTGCAATGTAATCCATGTGAGTAGCTTCTGGATTCAGACCATATTCCAAGTGGACAACATAAATAGCATTTTTCTTTGCATTTGCTAGTAAGAGAAGTCCTGCTTGAGATAATGCAACCACTTGATTAAAGAATGCATTTTCAACTCTAGCCTCGGATGAACTCTTCAATTCCAATGTCTGTGAACAATGCCATGAGTCAGCATCACTTGGAAGCAACCATCCTTCTTCACTATCAGAAGCCCATATTTTTATTTCTCGATTCAATGGACCCTGTGATTGTATCCAGATATCAGAATGAATAAAACATGTCAAAGAAAAGGAAAAAGTTTGAAACTTTGGTCAGATATTATTACCCCTGTGATAAGTATGATGTGATCTGGGCGTTGAGGAGCAGTTAAGAATGTGACAGAGTTGACAGGTAGACCATCATGAGGCCTCAAAACTGCAATCGGAGAGGACTTGCGATCATCCCAAATCTTTATCTGTTTAACAAAATTTTGAAGAAAAATGACTTGTTTGGTTGTGATTATGTAATATGTATATGTCAAGGGAATGAAATTATGAAAATGAATGTTGAGATGTTAACTAACAGTTCCATCTACTGAAGCAGAAACCAAACGGGTAGTCATCCATTGACACATTGATAAATCAGTCACTTCTCCATCATGACTACCAACAAACTGAACTCCATTAATCAATTTATCAACAGGGCATTTGAGAGGTTCTTCTGCAGAGTACACTTCACCTCTCCCGACCTTTGTAGTATCAATTCGCAACACACGTTTTCCAATTCCTACAACAAGAACTTCCTGCAACACATGAAATCATGCATCAAGTTAAGTTTTTTGTAATCTGTGAAAGCACATAAGCAAGATGGGAAAAGGATTTACTTGTTTGTGACAGTGCCAACAAACTCTGGGATGAACAGATTCACCTTCTCCTACAATCTGAATGGCAACAACTATCTTCCCGGTGATCTGTGGCTTATCCTCTTCATCTGTGCCTTCTGTAATCTTCCACACATAAACACGTCCATCTATACTAGCACTGGATAAGATAGTCTTGTTATAACCCAAACATGGAACAAAAGAAGTTAAGCGCATTAAGAAAGTTCTTACCTAGCTAGAAGATGAACATCCTCGGCGAAGAAAACCATATCTGTAACCCTCTGAGAAGGACAGATTGTTTAATTGGATCAATGAACATATTGGAAGTAGGATTATACTAAACTAGAAAAGAGAGTAACAAACCTGAGCAAGACCTTTAAGCAGTGATCTTAAAGCGGTGTTTATATTAAGAACCCTGATTGCTCCCAGTTTCAAACCATAACATATATAGGTTTTGTTAACAGCAATCTGACGACCCACGACGAGACCAGGATCAGACCCATACTTAGTAATGGGAGTGACCTCAAGTTGAGGTTGAACCTCTCCCGGCAACCTAACATCTATATCATATAAAACACGATCACCGCTCAAATGACGACCCTTTGGGAGTTTACTGCTAGGCATCCGCAATGGACCGGAACCAGAATGCAATGTAGGAACCAACGATGACGGAAGCATAGGATTAGTAGGTTGAGGCATAGGCATGGGTGATTGTGACGAGGTATCGATGGTGGTTGGTGGCGGAGCGCTTAAAAGAGCCATCAATCGGGCACCATGGTTAGGGTTAGGGTTGTTATTAGGGCTAGGGGGTTGGAGAGGGGGTGTAGGATAAGGAACGGATCGCTGGTGTTGTAAGTTAGAGGAAGGCATGGGGTTGTCCGGTTGAAAAGGGGGTGATGGGATATGGAATTGAGGGTGGTAAAGAGGGTTGGTTTGAGGAGAGTATGAGTAAAGCGCGCCGCTGACGGTGGGTGGAGGATACGAGGCGGCTGAGGACGGTGGAGGATAAGGGATGTTAGGGTTTTGGAAGGTGGTATTAGGGTTTGTTGTGATTGGTGGTGGGGAAGAAGAAGGGTTGAAGAATCTTTGAACATCGAATGGTCCTCCGCCTGGTTGTTGGTTCTGGTTTCCAGGGGAAGCCATGAATCACCACACCCAGTAAAAGTTTGTTCTTAAATCGATTGAAAATGTGCAGATTCAGATCTGAATACGAAATTGGAAGAGGGGTTTAGGGATTTTGATGTCAATCGAAAGGGGAAATGGATTGGATTTGGTTGAACACTCTCTTCTATGTGTGCGCTGTTGTTGAGTGAGATTATGGGAGGTTGACGGTACGACTTTTGGGAGACCAGGCCCATGAAGAAGAAGAGGAAGAAGAAGGTTTATTTCTTAATAATTTTCTCTTGATCGGAACTATTGACAAATACACTTTTAGTCCTTTAGTTAATAGTCCTAAGTCCTAACAATTATCAACTCGTTGTAATTTACAAACCAAGTCACTTTAACCATTAAAGTTTTGGGATATTGAAATATTTGTAAGGGTAAATTACACGGATGGTCCCTGTGGTTTAGGGTAATCTGTGTGTTTGGTCCCTAACAACTTTTTTTAACTCGGACGGTTCCTACTTTATATTTTTGTTGCACGCTTAGTCCTTGTCCGTTCTAAAAAGACTAATTTACCCTTACTGATTTCTTTTACCATTTTTTAAAATATTAGTTATTAAAAACAAATATTAATATATATGAAAAAAAATATTAATTAGATATGTGGGCCCACCTCCTCAGCCCCTCCCATAAAACCCCACCCTCCACCTCCATCGTTTTCGTGTCCTTCTCAAACAAACCAGCAACACCACCACTTATATATTCTCCGGCGAGCCACCGCCACCAATCAGATGCAATATTAAATAAAAAAGAACCAACGTCGAAAGTCGGTGTTTCTTTGGCAAACATAAACTACAAATCGCACAACCTGGTAAGGGATCTAGGGTTTTCACACCTTGTTCTCTTGTTATTATATGTCGGAAATTGTAGAAAGCTCAACCATGGCAGCCGGCGATGGGAACTAGGGTTTCTGAAGCACCAATTTTTGTTCTTGTTCGTGGGAAAAATACTTTGGCAATGGTGAAGATGGATTCTAGGGTTTCTGAAGATCGGTAGGGTCTTTATTTGTTCCCCCCTTTATTCAGTTTCGAACCCACTGAATTACCCCTTCTCTCACATGGAACAAAAAACGATTTGGTTTATCATTGATATTATCGGTCTCTAGACTGGATTTTTGGGTTTCAAATGTCGATTTCCCATCATCGATCTTCTTTATTTTCATTGATTTTCAAGACCACAATTATTTCTAGGATACCTCATCGATTGGATAGGCGTTAAGCGGTGAAGGCATCAAAAGGTCTTCTTCTACTTTCGACAAAAGGGTAGGGGGATTCACCTGAATCTGGTTTTCTTCTAGGATTCAACATCATATTCTGGTTTTATTTTGGTGTTGAATTTGAGTTACAAGTTTGGTTTTAGATGTATATTCAGATTTAGTGTTGAACGTTAGATGGCTTTATTTTGATTTTTGGATAATTTATGTGGTATGGATCTTTGGCCGGAGATGATGACCGGATTTGGTGCCGGTGACTGGAGGTTGTGGTAAGAACCGTAGAGGATTAAGCTGGAATCAATCATTTTTCCAGCAATATATTAATAATTTAATTTATTAATAATAACTGGAATAATATAAAAAGAACTAACAAAATAAAAATAGTCATTAAGGGCAAAATAGTCTTTTTAGGTTAGATAGGGACTAAGCGTGCAACAAAAATATAAAATAAGGACGGTCCGAGTTAAAAAAAGTTGTTAGGGACCAAACACGCAGATTACCCTAAACCACAGGGACTATCCGTGTAATTTACCCTATTTGTAATAAAATAATCACCTTTGTTTATAAGGGAATTGATAATTCCATCACTCTTTTTGACACATCTATAGATTTTAAAAGAAATTGGCAATTGTATCTATAGTCGATAGTGTAATTAATAATTCAACGGCAAGAATCTTCAATTTCTATTTTTGTTCATCCCAACATGAAATCATAGTTTTTTCTTCTTTTTCTACCACACACAAGGGAAACACAACCATAAATAGAATCATAACATATAATCAAACGATTAGTCTCATCACAAATCTTGTCATTTTGTTTTCCTTCATCGGATATGGTCTCATTACCGATAGCTGACCATATTTTTCAGGATCTTTAAATCGGAATCCCAAGATATCACCTCTAAAGTTTCTTGGATCTCAAATATTGTTTGTATCAAACTACACTACAACAAATGGATTACTAACGAGTATATCCATTTATCGGCAGCCCCATCAACGAGAACCATTTATTATCGTTGAATTATCCTTGAACAACAAGAACGTGAATCTATCACAAAAATCTTAAAACAATTTTGATCGATGGCAAAGGAGAAATCGTTGGTGAATCTTTGTTAACTCTTTGGAGCTCTTATCCTAAAGATGAAGTAGTTTGACGCATATCGCCCCTTTGAACTGGTTCAATCTGCATTAATCTCATTCGGGGTTATTTTGATTTAATCATCGGTTATATATGAAGAACTTCTGTTTATGTTTCAGGTTATGAGTACTGATTTTTGTCGTATTAAAGGAGATTGACACAAAAATCAACCTATGTATGAATAGTAAAGTTTTTTTCTTTTTAACTTTTGTAGTAGTAGTTTTGGTTTTTAGACTTCTTCCATAAAGCTACTTTCTTATTTCATATTTTGGTCATAAAAGTTTATTATGTTTGCAGATTTAGTCCCTATAATTTTGTACATTGGTAATTTTCTCACCCTTATTTTGTAAAACGACACTTTCTACCCCCTTACTTTGTAAAATGGCATTTTCCACATTTTACTTTGTAAAATATCACTTTTACCCCCCTCAAATTTGAACAACAATAATTTCCACCCTTTCAACTTTTAAATATTTTCATGTGTTTATGTTAGGTCCCTAGACTTTCGTATGTAGCAAGTTTGGTCCCCTTATAAAACATGCACACAAAACGATAAAATGATGACTAATATTATTTTCCTTTTGTATGACTATAACATAGTAAGCAAAAGCTCGCATGCGTCAATAACAACCCAAAAATCAAGAGTAAAAAATTCATTTTTAATTCAACCAAACACCATCAAGTATTAATATCAAGTTATCAAAAGTATGTTAATGTGAAAGTAATTATCAGAGTACAATCTCAAAATCATAAAAAAAATATTGAACACGGGTGAATGGTGGATGTGTTGCGATCAGGTCGAACTCTTCCCCTTCAAACCAGAAGTAACTGCAAATAAACTTAAAACATAAGCATAAAGCTTAGTGAGTTCCCCAAAATACCACATACCATAAATACAATAGGCCTCGTTTGACATTCATCGGTCCCCGCCCGGTACAAATCTGTCAGTAACTTGCGATGGGCCCCACCCAACACATTCATCAGGCCTTGCATGGCATCAGGCCCCTCTCGGTATACATAAAACACAAACAATACATGCAAGAGTCAGACAAACAATTAGCATCCTATAAACAGTAATCAATGGGCCGACATTGGTGCTTTCGACCCGCCAAACACTATGATAAGACTCACTAACAAACGATGATCAATTGCTATTACTCCTACCATCGTGAACACATGTGTTATAAACCACCTATACAGGCATACATAGTACACCCTTAGCTTTCCTTCTAAAACTAAGGGTTTGACCAAAAATCAACGCAAGTTAAAAGTCAAAGTTTATGTCACACCCCAAAACCAAGAACGGCGGAAACGTTCTGGGGCGGAGGACGTCATGTAAGTATCACAACACAGTAAATGTAAATAAGCAAACAACATCATCCATTGCATTAAATATATAATTTTAATACAAGTGTGTTCTGTACAGTATAGACACCAAAAATAACGTATATCAAAATAATAAGATGAGTCTTGAATGCGCTCCATCTTCTCAAAAGCTGGCCTCGGTACCTGTCTACTGATGACCTGAGAATACAAGTTATTTTGAAAGAGTTTATCAGCATTAAGCTGGTGAGTTCATAAGTATTTTAGTGTCGGTATTTGTCATCCAAAATGTTTGAACATGTATAAAGTATAAGTTTGTAAAATGTATGTAAAGGTTTACAATTGTTTGTAAAAGTTTGAATCTCTCAGAAAAACCTATATTTTCTATTAAAGTAGCCTTCTACCAAGGCTTAACTGTTTTGTATGCTCGTTTGATGTAAAAATGTGTAATTTCCCGAATGTAACTATCATTTAACAAAATATAGTTTGTACATAAACGTTTAAGTGAGGTTATCACTAAAAATATGTAATGGGTAAATTATTGTAGTATTGTAGCCTTGTATTATAAGAACTATTGTTGTACTAACTACCTTAAACCGGATTTATATTAAGGCATTACGTGATAAATTGCACCATACTATCGACTAGTAACAACGACAAATGAATGGTCGTAATAACGGAATGACGTTTGGCACCCGCAGACCTGCAGGTCCGGCTGTAGCTAGCAGCAAGGTGTAGGATTGTCAATCCAGTATAGATCTATACGCAAACTCACGCTCTCCCTTCAAGAGAATTCTGGCTACAACTCGAGCCATGACAGTTAAGTCATGCTCCGATTTAAATCACAATAATAAAGTATTCATGTATATGTACTGTTTCTCGTTCTAGTATAGTTGTATATGTATTGTTTCTAGCATCATTATATATGTATTGTTTCTAGCATCATTGTATATGTATTGTTTCTAGCATCATTGTATATGTATTGTTTCTAGCATCATTGTATATGTATTGTTTCTAGTATCATTGTATATGTATTGTTTCTAGTATATGTATATGTATTGTTTCTAGCATCATTGTATATGTATTGTTTCTAGTATATGTATATGTATTGTGTTACCCCGATGGTAACTAACTATTGATGTACTGATAAATATGAATATGGAAGTACTTTTATGTCTATACATGTATATATGATATATAACTAATGTTGAAACGACCTTCGGATGGTCACCCGAAATCCCACCAGACCACATCTCAGTGCGCGAAAAGGAAATAGGGCGGATGGCCTTCCTAAGCCCTTTAAACATTACTTATATATATATATATATATATATATATATATATATATATATATATATATATATATATATATATATATATATATATATATATATATATGGGCATGCAATTTATAAGAAATAAAACAAAGTTAAATAAAAGCATTTGATAAGTAAAAAGAGTTTGTAAAACATTTGAAGTGAAACAGTTTGATAAACAGTTGAACAGTGATAAAATCATTGGTTTTCTAGTTATTAATCACATGTGATTGATGTAATAACTATAAGTATTTGACTTGTATTCCCCCCCTATAAAGTATTTAAAACAT